TGATGTCAGGTTTGACGTCAGGTTTGATGTCAGGTTTGACGTCAGGTTTGAGGTGCAGGTTTGAGGTGCAGGTTTGAGGTGCAGGTTTGAGGTCAGGTTTGAGGTGCAGGTTTGAGGTGCAGGTTTGAGGTCAGGTTTGAGGTTAGGTTCGATGTGCAGGTTTGAGGTGCAGGTTTGAGGTCAGGTTTGAGGTGCAGGTTTGAGGTCAGGTTTGAGGTGCAGGTTTGAGGCGCAGGTTTGAGGTCAGGTTTGACGTGCAGGTTTGAAGTCAGGTTTGAGGTCAGGTTTGAGGTCAGGTTTGACGTCAGGTTTGACGTCAGGTTTGAGGTCAGGTTTGAGGTCAGGTTTGACGTCAGGTTTGAGGTCAGGTTTGAGGTGCAGGTTTGAGGTGCAGGTTTGAGGCGCAGGTTTGACGTCAGGTTTGAGGTCAGGTTTGAGGTCAGGTTTGACGTCAGGTTTGACGTCAGGTTTGACGTCAGGTTTGAGGTCAGGTTTGAGGTCAGGTTTTACGTCAGGTTTGACGTCAGGTTTGAGGTCAGGTTTGGGGTGCAGGTTTGAGGTCAGGTTTGAGGTGCAGGTTTGAGGTCAGGTTTGAGGTCAGGTTTGAGGTCAGGTTTGAGGTCAGGTTTGAGGTGCAGGTTTGAGGTCAGGTTTGAGGTGCAGGTTTGAGGTGCAGGTTTGAGGTCAGGTTTGAGGTGCAGGTTTGAGGTCAGGTTTGAGGTCAGGTTTGAGGTCAGGTTTGACGTCAGGTTTGACGTCAGGTTTGAGGTCAGGTTTGAGGTCAGGTTTGACGTCAGGTTTGAGGTCAGGTTTGAGGTGCAGGTTTGAGGTGCAGGTTTGAGGCGCAGGTTTGACGTCAGGTTTGAGGTCAGGTTTGAGGTCAGGTTTGACGTCAGGTTTGACGTCAGGTTTGACGTCAGGTTTGAGGTCAGGTTTGAGGTCAGGTTTTACGTCAGGTTTGACGTCAGGTTTGAGGTCAGGTTTGGGGTGCAGGTTTGGGGTGCAGGTTTGAGGTGCAGGTTTGAGCTGCAGGTTTGAAGTGCAGGTTTGAGGTGCAGGTTTGAGGTGCAGGTTTGACGTCAGGTTTGACGTCAGGTTTGACGTCAGGTTTGACGTCAGGTTTGAGGTGCAGGTTTGAGGTGCAGGTTTGAGGTGCAGGTTTGAGGTGCAGGTTTGAGGTGCAGGTTTGAGGTCAGGTTTGAGGTCAGGTTTGAGGTCAGGTTTGAGGTCAGGTTTGAGGTCAGGTTTGATGTCAGGTTTGTCGTCAGGTTTGATGTCAGGTTTGACGTCAGGTTTGAGGTGCAGGTTTGAGGTGCAGGTTTGAGGTGCAGGTTTGAGGTCAGGTTTGAGGTGCAGGTTTGACGTCAGGTTTGAGGTCAGGTTTGAGGTCAGGTTTGACGTCAGGTTTGACGTCAGGTTTGACGTCAGGTTTGAGGTCATGTTTGAGGTGCAGGTTTGAGCTGCAGGTTTGAGCTGCAGGTTTGAGGTGCAGGTTTGACATCAGGTTTGACGTCTGGTTTGAGGTCAGGTTTGACGTCAGGTTTGAGGTGCAGGTTTGAGGTGCAGGTTTGAGGTGCAGGTTTGAGGTGCAGGTTTGAGGTCAGGTTTGAGGTCAGGTTTGAGGTCAGGTTTGAGGTCAGGTTTGACGTCAGGTTTGAGGTGCAGGTTTGAGGTGCAGGTTTGAGGTGCAGGTTTGAGGTGCAAGTTTGAGGTGCAGGTTTGAGGTCAGGTTTGAGGTCAGGTTTGAGGTCAGGTTTGACGTCAGGTTTGACGTCAGGTTTGAGGTCACGTTTGAGGTCAGGTTTGACGTCAGGTTTGACGTCAGGTTTGAGGTGCAGGTTTGACGTCAGGTTTGAGGTCAGGTTTGAGGTCAGGTTTGACGTCAGGTTTGACGTCGGGTTTGACGTCGGGTTTGACGTCAGGTTTGACGTCAGGTTTGAGGTCAGGTTTGAGGTCAGGTTTTACGTCAGGTTTGACGTCAGGTTTGAGGTCAGGTTTGGGGTGCAGGTTTGAGGTGCAGGTTTGAGCTGCAGGTTTGAGGTGCAGGTTTGACGTGCAGGTTTGAGGTGCAGGTTTGAGATCAGGTTTGACGTCAGGTTTGACGTCAGGTTTGACGTCAGGTTTGAGGTGCAGGTTTGAGGTGCAGGTTTGAGGTGCAGGTTTGAGGTCAGGTTTGAGGTGCAGGTTTGAGGTGCAGGTTTGAGGTCAGGTTTGAGGTTAGGTTTGATGTGTAGGTTTGAGGTCAGGTTTGAGGTGCAGGTTTGAGGTCAGGTTTGAGGTGCAGGTTTGAGGTGCAGGTTTGAGGTCAGGTTTGACGTGCAGGTTTGAGGTGCAGGTTTGAGGTGCAGGTTTGAGGTCAGGTTTTACGTCAGGTTTGACGTCAGGTTTGACGTCAGGTTTGAGGTCAGGTTTGAGGTGCAGGTTTGAGGTGCAGGTTTGAGCTGCAGGTTTGAGGTGCAGGTTTGAGCTGCAGGTTTGAGGTGCAGGTTTGACGTCAGGTTTGACGTCTGGTTTGAGGTCAGGTTTGACGTCAGGTTTGAGGTGCAGGTTTGAGGTGCAGGTTTGAGGTGCAGGTTTGAGGTGCAGGTTTGTGGTCAGGTTTGAGGTCAGGTTTGAGGTCAGGTTTGAGGTCAGGTTTGAGGTCAGGTTTGACGTCAGGTTTGATGTCAGGTTTGACGTCAGGTTTGACGTCAGGTTTGAGGTGCAGGTTTGAGGTGCAGGTTTGACGTCAGGTTTGAGGTGCAGGTTTGACGTGCAGGTTTGAGGTCAGGTTTGAGGTCAGGTTTGACGTGCAGGTTTGAGGTGCAGGTTTGAGGTGCAGGTTTGAGGTCAGGTTTGAGGTGCAGGTTTGAGGTCAGGTTTGAGGTCAGGTTTGAGGTGCAGGTTTGAGGTCCGGTTTGAGGTCAGGTTTGAGGTCAGGTTTGAGGTCAGGTTTGAGGTCAGGTTTGATGTCAGGTTTTGACGTCAGGTTTGACGTCAGGTTTGAGGTGCAGGTTTGAGGTGCAGGTTTGAGGTGCAGGTATGAGGTGCAGGTTTGAGGTCAGGTTTGAGGTGCAGGTTTGACGTCAGGTTTGACGTCAGGTTTGAGGTCAGGTTTGACGTCAGGTTTGAGGTCAGGTTTGAGGTCAGGGTTGACGTAAGGTTTGACGTCAGGTTTGACGTCAGGTTTGACGACATGTTTTACGTCAGGTTTGACGTCAGGTTTGAGGTCAGGTTTGAGGTGCAGGTTTGAGGTGCAGGTTTGAGCTGCAGGTTTGAGCTGCAGGTTTGAGGTGCAGGTTTGAGGTTCAGGTTTGTCGTCAGGTTTGACGTCAGGTTTGAGGTGCAGGTTTGAGGTCAGGTTTGAGGTGCAGGTTTGAGGTCAGGTTTGAGGTCAGGTTTGAGGTCAGGTTTGACGTCAGGTTTGACGTCAAGTTTGAGGTCAGGTTTGAGGTCAGGTTTGACGTCAGGTTTGACGTCAGGTTTGAGGTGCAGGTTTGACGTCAGGTTTGAGGTCAGGTTTGAGGTCAGGTCTGACGTCAGGTTTGACGTCAGGTTTGACGTCAGGTTTGAGGTCAGGTTTGAGGTCAGGTTTTACGTCAGGTTTGACGTCAGGTTTGAGGTCAGGTTTGGGGTGCAGGTTTGAGGTACAGGTTTGAGCTGCAGGTTTGAGGTGCAGGTTTGACGTGCAGGTTTGAGGTGCAGGTTTGACGTCAGGTTTGACGTCAGGTTTGACGTCAGGTTTGAGGTGCAGGTTTGAGGTGCAGGTTTGAGGTGCAGGTTTGACGTGCAGGTTTGAGGTGCAGGTTTGAGGTCAGGTTTGAGGTCAGGTTTGACGTTAGGTTTGATGTCAGGTTTGACGTCAGGTTTGATTCAGGTTTGACGTCAGGCTTGAGGTGCAGGTTTGAGGTGCAGGTTTGAGGTGCAGGTTTGAGGTGCAGGTTTGAGGTGCAGGTTTGAGTTGCAGGTTTGAGGTGCAGGTTTGAGGTGCAGGTTTGAGGTCAGGTTTGACGTGCAGGTTTGAGGTGCAGGTTTGAGGTCAGGTTTGAGGTGCAGGTTTGAGGTCAGGTTTGAGGTGCAGGTTTGAGGTGCAGGTTTGAGGTGCAGGATTGAGGTGCAGGTTTGAGGTGCAGGTTTGAGGTGCAGGTTTGAGGTGCAGGTTTGAGGTGCAGGTTTGAGGTGCAGGTTTGAGGTCAGGTTTGAGGTGCAGGTTTGAGGTGCAGGTTTGAGGTGCAGGTTTGAGGTGCAGGTTTGAGGTGCAGGTTTGAGGTGCAGGTTTGAGGTGCAGGTTTGAGGTGCAGGTTTGAGGTGCAGGTTTGAGGTGCAGGTTTGACGTCAGGTTTGAGGTCAGGTTGGAAGGGGAACAGGGGGGAGGATGGGGGGAGGACGGGGGGAGGGCGGGGGGAGGAGGGGGGGGGGTGGGGGGGGAGGGCGGGGGGAGACGGGGGGAGGAGGGGGGGAGGAGGTGGGAAGGACGGGGGAGAACGGGGGGAGTACGGGGTGAGGACGGAGGGAGGACGGGGGGAGGAGTGGGGAGTACGCGGGGTCTGGGGAGGGGGGGTGAGGACGGGGGGAGGGGGGGGGGAGGACGGGGGGAGGAGGGGGGGGAGAACGGGGGGAGTACGGGAAGGAGGGGGGAGGAGGGGGAGAGGAGGGGGACGGGTGGAGGAGGGGGGAGGAGGGGGGGAGGAGGGGGGAGGATGGGGGGAGGAGGGGGGGAGAACGGAAGGAGGACGGCGGGGAGGAGGGGATAAGGGGGGGAGGAGGGGCGAGGACGGGGGGAGGACGGGGGTTGGACGGGGAGAGGAGAGGGGGAGGAGGGCGGGAGGACGGGGGGGAGGTTGGAGGCACATGAAGCGAAGTGCAGGTGAGTATGAGGTGAGATGCTCACCTGTTGCGCAGGGCGATGGCAACGGCCCGCTTGGCCTGAGCCTGCCCCACGATGTGCCTATCAGATTCGCATCACAAGGTGTGTTTCGATCGAGTCAACCCCAATCAAGCCAAGCAGCTAGACCCCCCACCTGTTGCGCAGGGCGATGGCAACGGCCCGCTTGGCCTGCGCCTGCCCCACGATGTGGCGATCCAAGAGCTCCACCACCTTGGCTGGCGTCAGATCGTCCTCCGATACCTGCTCTGTTGGGGGGTGGGAAGGGGAAGGATAGGCAGCGCGGGGGGGTTGGGAGATGGAGGGTGAGTGCATTCTCGAGGCACCGTAGGAAGAGGCCTGCCCCACGATGTGGCGATCCAACAGCTCCACCACCTTGGCTGGCGTCAGATCGTCCTCCGATACTTGCTCTGTAGGGAGGGGAAAGGGGACTGGGAGCGAGAGGGAAAGGGAATGTCAGCGAGAGAGGCGAGTGTCAAACTCATAGAACTCCTTCCTGATCTTCAAATCAAGTACCTTCGCTCTGCAAGGGCAAGGAGGGAAAAACACAATTTGCGTCAACTGTCAAAGTCAAACCATGGGGTTGAGGGGAACAAAAGAGTAGAAGAGAAAGTGAATCAGGCAAGCCTCAGATTTACCTGATACGGCAGCGGATTCATCATCAGTGTCTGTTGGCACTGTAGCAGGATCGGCAGCAGTGACTGCAGTGGTGGCAATATCACCACTTGATGACAATAACGCGGATGCGGAAAGGCTTGCTACAGTCCTGTTCAGGGAACAAACAAAGAGCATGGACTGTGGTGGGTATTAGGGGCCTAACAAGTTCATACGGAACCCTCAAAACGTCTCCCGGATCCCGTTTGATTCGTCTCAGAAAACGTCTCCCGGGTCCTTATTCATAAGCTAACTTTTCACCATCTAGGTGCTGTGCTATCATGCAACCCATTGCACTGAAAAATACACTGTTGCTAATTGCTGAACGGAATAACACAGACTACAGAACAGAGCGACTCAATCCACACGCGAGGATGAAGTTTAACGAGCCACTCAACTGGAACCTGCAAGCTTGCTGGAATCTCAATGGGTTTCGGGGAAACCCGTGAACGGACGAGCATTGTCTGTGCGAAGAAGAACACGCGGAATCGGCGGAATTGGCGGCGAGAGCTGAAAGCGGGGATGCGTGCGGGAAGGCTGAGGCGGATGCGAGCTGGCGTGCGAGCCGCTGGCAGTGGTGCGGGTCGAGGGAGTATCGGCGGAGGATACGGTGGAGCGACATGGTTGATCGGTTGAATGCGGTGCTCAACTCAAAGCCTGTCCTCGACTTTGCAACCTAAAGGACTCCATATCCCTGCTGGGTGCTGATCCCAGTCCGTCTGTCGAACCCGCGATAAAACGCCATAGATGGTCACAGCCTTAGAAGAAGCGAAAGTTTGAAGCGATCCGGGGAGGACAGAAGGAATCGGTCAATCGACTCAAGCTTCTGTCATGAAATTATGACGTCAAGCACAAGGTGAAAAAGAAAGTGCAAGTTTCTCGATGTTGCCGCGGAACGTCCGCTAGTGTGGTCCCCGTTGCAGTATCAGCTACGGAAACTAGTAAACAATCTCATTACTACCTTTATATGGGCACATTTGTACTCAATGCAACCATTCTACCGTATCCTACAAGCTATACTTTTGTCAAACACCATTGCTAGAAGTATCACGCACCATCGGTAACCTTCACTCAAGTTTCCCCTCCTCAACCTCGTCTTCTAGCGAAAACACATCCGTGTTTATTGGCTTCTTCTCTGCAGCAGACCCTGCCTCTGCTTTCGCTGAAGCCACTGATGCTGATGTAAGCGCCACATCATCATCATCCTCTGGAACATCCTCCGAATATGCGTATCTGGATAAACAGAGGCACAAAGGCCGAAGAAGTTGCAAGGTTACATCATCAAGCGCAACGAGCCACTGTCACAGGAACTGACGCAGCAGTGTGGAAGAACAATAATAGCAGTGTGAGTGAGCGCGAACATGAGGCTCAGAATCAAGAGCAGGAGAAGTGTGTGGCCCTGGTGGAGGGGAGAATGAACATTATGTACACACCTAGTGGAGTTGAGTGAGGGCGCGCAGAGCACGCAGATGGCCCAGAGCAGCACATACTGCAGCAGGTGCCAGAAGTGTGGGAGAGCTTGATACTTGCCCGCAGTGTTGGGGAGTACAAACACCTACTTAACCACATTCATGTGTGAGTACACAACACACCTGGTGGAGTTGAGGGAGGGCGCCCAGAGCACGCAGATGGCGCAGAGCAGCACGAACTGCAGCAGGTGCCAGAAGCACCCCGTGATCCAATCCGCCTCCCACCTCTCATTGTACGGGTCCGACAGCCGCACATACATCTGGATGAGGGTTGAGCAGACGGGGAGGGGCAGATGGGAAGATGCGAAGAAACAGATGGGAGATCACACACGGTTTGAGACATTACACAACACAGATTGACAGTTTTGAGACTGATGGCCGCACATGCATTCGAGGACAAAGACAAACAGAGGAGGATCAGACCAACATGTGGATTGGGCCAAACAGGATCAGCACAGAGACAAGCAACATAATCTCGTGTAGCGAACAAGCACGGGTGCAGTGTGGTTCAGTGCGCACCTCGTATGCGATCCAGGCTACAGAGACGATCACGGCCAGAGCCATGCCGTTGGTGAACTTGCGGTACAGCTCCAGCTTCGACCCTGTGCGCTTCGTCTGGGAGAAGAAAGAAACGGGGGGTGGGGCAGGGGGGTTGAGGCAGGGGAGAATGGAGCATTGGGGAATGCCCTTCCATGCAACCAACACCAGCAGGCCAGAGCCATGCCGTTGGTGAACTTGCGGTACAGCTCCAGCTTCGACCCTGTGCGCTTCGTCTGGCGGCCAACGGAAGTAAACAGGGGAGAGAAGGGGGGAGGAGGGAGGGGGGGTGTGGGGGGTGTCGGGGGGGTAGGGGGAAGGGGCATATGAAGGCATGAACTTGCGGTACAGCTCCAGCTTCGACCCTGTGCGCTTCGACAGGGAGAAAAAGGAAGCGGGGGGTGGGGCAGGGGGGTTGGGTCAGGGGAGAATGGAGCATTGGGGAATGCCCTTTCATGCAACCGACACCAGCACGGCCAGCGCCATGCCGTTGGTGAAAATGTGGTACAGCTCCAGCTTTGACCCTGTGCGCTTCGTCTGGTGGGGCAAGGGGGGGAAGGAGGCAGGGGGGAATGAATGGGCATGAATGGGGATGAACGGGCATGAATGGACATGAAAGGGCATGGATAGGCATGCGAAGTCAGATACAGAGAGATCGAAGGAAAAGCATCATTCCAGCCAATCTCATAGGCTGGCACAAACTGTGGCTGCTCATTCACTCAAATCAAGCTGAATGAGCCAACTTACAAGACGGTCATCGTCCCCTCATCCCCTTTTTGCAACCTGTTTTACCCAATCTCCCCTGAGTTTCCACAGACGCTTAGGAACGCGAGCACTGTGCCCCACCTAGTATGACCGGACCTGCAACAACAGCACGCAATGTGGCCGTACCTGCAGCTACACCATCCGCACTGAACCCACCTGCAGCAGCGAGAGCGACTTGGAGCGCGAGGAGAAGATCCAGAGGATGAAGATGCGTCGAGCAGGGCCACTCTTTTATCCTTGCACACACACTCCCACCCAGGAACCCAGGAGCAACAAGAGCACTGTGCCGCCCCCCTCCCTCCACAACATTACGACCATACCTGCAGCAGCGAGAGAGTCTTGGAGAGCGAGGAGAAGATCCAGAGGATGAAGATGGCGTCGAGCACAGCGACAGGCAGCACGAGGAAGAGGCGCTCGCTGCTGTTCAGATCGTCGATGGCGCCCACGTTCTGCATCACGTCCAGCAGCTCCACTGCACAGAAGTAACCTGCACCCAAAGCCATAACCTGCGGGGGAGGGGCGAGAAAGGGGTGTGGGGAGGAGGGTTACAGAGAGAAAGAGGCAGGAAAGGCTCCCCCACATTCTGCATCACGTCCACCAGCTCCACCGCACAGAAGTACCCCGCACCTAGCGCCATCACTTGGTGTAAGGAGACGGGAGGTGGGGAGGGAGGGGGACGCGTTCGAATGGGGAAACAGGAAGCCCGTGTGGCTCATAGGTCGCCCCCACAGCTGCTGAGAGTAGTGAGGTGCATTTTGAGGCGCCTCAAAATGCACAGGAAGCCCGTGTGGCTCAAAGGTCGCCCCCACAGCTGCTGAGAGTCACTTCACGTCTTCTCTACCATCTTTACCCCCTCAATTACTTCCGCCCAATCCAGCAGCTATCACTTCCCCCCTACAAGCTTCCTCACCTTGCGTTCCATCTTCCGTCCCCTTCACCCTCTTTCTGCTTCCCCCTCACCCTCCCTCTCATTCCCTTCCACACTCGCCACACTTCCTTCCCTTTCCCCCGTCACCCCATGTTTTCCACTCTTCTTTCTCACCTCACCAGCCCGAGCGCCCATGATACCCACTCATTCTTCCCAAACACCTCCCCCCTTCCGTTCCCCCCTTCCCTTACGCAACACCTCCTCACATTCTCCTCCCCATCCCTGTGCTTCTCTCCCCCACCTTTCCCCCATCCTGGGCGTACCTTCCCTGACAGCCCGCCCAGCGTCGGCCGCACCACGCCATACCCCATCGCCACGATCAGCACCAGCACGCGCGACACCGCCTTGCGCAGCGCGCCGAGCGTCGCCGCCCAGATGGTGGTCCCGTAGGGGCGGAAGCCGCCGGCGTTGAAGTTGACGTAGTCGAAGTACCAGGTGGCCATCTCGAGCATGGAGAGCGCGATGACGGCCGTGATGCAGTTCTGCAGCTGCAGGATGTCGCGCCAGAAGCGCGCGTACTGCATGAACCACACCACGCCCAGCACCAGATACGCCTGGTGGGATGGGGGGGGGGGGAAGGAGCGAGGGAGAGGTGGGGATGGGGGTGGGAGGGGGGGGCGGGCGGAAGGGAGTGTGGGGCGGGTGGAGGGGAGTAGGAGTTTTGCGCAAGAAACGCGCTCACGGCAAGAACAACACCACGCCCAGCACCAGGTACGCCTGGAGGGGATACCGGCCACGGCCAGGGGGTACACAGTTACCAGCGCGTACAAGTCAGGTTCTTCTGCTTTAGAACTGCCTCTAATACACTCAAAAGGATAGCTTTGCCACCATGGATATGAGCGCGTACAAGTCCGCTGCTCAAACTTCGAAACCGGAATCCAATCAAGCCAAGAGAATAAGACGCACCATGGACATGAGCGCGTAGAAGTTGAGGTATGGCATCATCATGCCGGGCAGATACCCGCCCGGGTTCTTCCAGATGGTCGTGCCCGTAACGGCCACGCCAGCCAGGCTCTTGTCGCAGATGACGAACCACAGGTAGTACATGCCCGGCGCCGTGATGTGGATCTCCGACGGCGCCACCGCCACCGCCGTGTCGTTGCCAATGAAGTTGATTTCCACCACGCGGGGCCACTGTGGAGTGGAGTAGACCATGCAGGGTGGAAGCGGAAAGGGTCAAATATGAACAACCTGGTTGGTGCCGTGATGTGGATCTCCAACGGCGCCACCGCCACCGCCATGTTGTTACCAATGATATTGATTTCCACCACGCGAGGCCACCGTGGACCAATGATATTGTTTCTCTTTATTACGCTTGGCCTCTTTACCTTCTAGGGTTCCACTAGACGAGAAAATAACATCGCTTTGGATTCTTATACATGTACGCGAATCAGAATACTATTGCGCGGATCCGAAAGAATGATGTCCGTACCTGGTTATCCCCGTCTCTCGGCCGCACGATGATGTGTCCAGGGTTGCATCCCGTCCGTTGAACGAGCTCAGGAGAGCAGCAGAACGCGCGGATGTTGGAAGCCGACGCATAGCCGATGCGGTCGCGGTCCTTCACCTCGAACAACAGAGCCTCGATTCTCCCTGTCTGCCCGGCGATCGGAGACACCTGAGCCTCGGAGAGCGGCCGATGGAACTTCAGGTTGTCGAACCTGCATACACGACGACGCAAGTACCGATCCCAATACAACGCATTAGTCTACGATCCTGACAGGAGCCGGCAATGACCAATGGGAGCAGCCACGCAGGAGTCTACAAAAAAATCCGTTAAACTATGCTTTTTCAGAATCGATTAAAGAGCACAGTAATTCACAAAAAGTTGCGTTGATTCGCCAGCCAAAACGTAACACATTGTTGCTGGTCAATCTAAATATGGAATCAAATTGGATGCACGTTCTTTTGTTCGCCAAGGGATCTTAACTACCAGCATCTCGAGATCATTCCTACCGGATGTATGCTTTCCCGTTTGCGACTCCTCTCGGGATGTCCACCCAACGGCGAACTGCCTCGGGCGTGGATGCGAACAGACCTTCGCGTCCGCCTCGGAAGAGGAAAGCATCGGACGCTTGGAAAAACTTCCCGCCATTATACTCGTGTACAGCCGCCTCGGCAAGCAGGCCAGACAGCAAACAGAATATAGCAAGCCCGCAGGCGAGCCTTCCTAACGCAGCCATGGCGGCCCACACAGATGAGATAACTACTGCTGCTGCTGATACGTCGTTCTTCAAGAAAACTTCGGGATTCCCTTCCTACTGAACGGACCGAAAGGTCATAGGAACTCCAGGCCAGGTCTGTGGATGTGAATCTGGCGATGTGGGGGGATGAGCGGAGCGATTTCGAGTTGAAGGAGGGGGGGGGGGGGGGGGGGGGAGGGAAAGAAGACGGAGTTACGGAGGGGGAGGAGCGGACGAACCACGTGGAAGCGGGGAGCAGAGTGGCAGAAGAATCACGAGGAGGAAGCGGAGGGAGGAGGGAGGAATAGAGTCGCACGCCGGGATGGGCGCGGGAAGTTCGGGAAAAACAGGGGGGAGAAGTACACCCCTGTTCCCGAACAGGGTTGACAGGACGGTGGCGCAGAGCAGAGACTTCGATCTTGCCGAATGTCTACACTACACCTGTTCCCGTATCGCGAGGGCGAGCTGAGAAATGGGATGGGAGGGAAAACGGTCAGGCTCGGGAGAGTGAAGAGGTGTGTGTCAGAAGCCTTGTCCTGAGTCTTCAGGGCCTGTGTAATTCGATATTAGCAGTACGCCGAACGGAACCCTGCTGACCAGGAAAAGTCCTGTCATAAGCCCAACCCACACGCTGACTACTAGAAACCAGAAGAAAATCAGTGTAGCTGGGTATGACTGTATCATACCACATGAGCCTGTTGTTAATTCATTTTAAGATAAATATTATCATTCAGGAGACAGATAAGTCCTTTATAAACGTATATCCATCATAACTAAACATATAAATGTCAAAGACTCTGCTACGCCACCATCTAGAGAGGTACAACCCTTATTCCAATTAAATGACTAGGCCATCCGGCTGAATAGTTGAACGCAGGCCTTTCATCGCCATGTGCTGCGCATAGAACTCAGCATGTTCCTGCACACGGTAAGGAAACATCCGTCAAGCATGTACGGATCTGGTGCCAAAAGTACCCCAACAAACCCCTTCCTCCGCAAATCCCTCCCAGAACCCTCACTAGCCGCTACAACTCCCATCATAACCATGCACAAAATAGAAAACGAACAAACAGAAGTAGCTCAGGGTAATGGAATAGAATTGTTACCTTGATGGCGACGCAGACGAGCCCCTGACCCAGCTCTCTGGACTCGTTGAACACCCGCCGCGCGTCGTCCACCGTGACTGACGGCACCACTGTTGGCAGTACCTTCGCCACTGATGCACACAGCGAGCACATGGGGAACGGTTGCAGGGAGAGTGACAACCGAACCAAAAACAGAGATTGGGTTGACGCAAATCCTGCCCCTCGCTCCCTCCTCATCACCTCCCCAACCCCCCTCCCGCCTCCTCCACTCTCCCCATCCCTCTCTCTTCTCCTCCGCTGCACTTCTAGGCAAAACGTTTTTCGGTCGCCACAGAAACAAGCTGAAGCGAGGCGAAGGATATGGTCAGCACGCGCTCACCTCTATCCTCGGTGTGCTTCTCGTGGTCCAACAGTAGCACGCGGTACCGATCTCCGCCTCCATTCCGCATCCGCTGCTTCAGCTGCCCCATCTCTCCACCGGCGTCCGTCTTCGGAGCGCCGTCCGCTCCTCCTGATTGGTCCAATCCAGGCCGCTCCAGAACCGAAGCTCCCCCGAACGAGCTGCCGAGCCTACCGCGCAAGCGAACACCCTGAGAGTCCATGCGAACGGCTAGGGACGCCATCGCAGCGTGAGAATCTGTTTGAATCGACTGCGCGACTGAGGAAGGCTTGGTGGTCGCGGCCAGTCTGTGAGGGAGAGACGAGACGGTTACAGTCGCGGGAAGAGACGCCACTGACGCCATGATTTCGAGTTTTTGGTGAACTGACAATCCGCGGAGGGTAATTGATACGTAATGGCTGGAGAATCTGCTAGGAAGGGCCCTGAGAAGCACGAGTGCTGGTGTCAGGAAGACCGCGATTGCCAGCAACTGCAGCGATTGGGGTGGTTAACACAAGAGATTTTCTGATGTAACGCCGATCGCTGAAAGGAGAAATCGATGGCAAGGTATAGAACAAGTACTTTGACGAGAGCAGCGGACGAGGAGGAAAGGTGTGCCCAACCAGAGGAGTTACGAAATCTCGCGACTTCCATTACAAATCTTCGCCGAAAGGGCGCGTTGCCAGCTGGACCATCGAGAAAGGGCGACCTGAAGTGGCGGCACGAGTGAGTGCCAGGTGTACATTGCTAATGGAGGCGCGTGAACCTTCCCAAAAGCGCTGAGCAAGGTGTGCGCACCCGCTATTTCGTGCGCCAATAAGAAACAGAAGACGATACATTTTCGTGGAACACAAACTTAAAGCTCGCGTCTCATATTTCTACTATCCAACCAAGTGTTAAACGGTTGGAATTTGGTAACAGCAAAGTTTGTCGCAAAGCACACCAAAGCAAGGGGTGGTTTGGGAAAGTTGGCTGTCGCACACTTCCCGTGCACACCAAGCGTTTACAACTTCCAAAAATATGAGACTCTGAAACTCAACATTGACAGAAGGGGGGACCGAACCTGTCCCCCTTGGCTCGTTTTCCACCCAAACCAATCCACCCTGGTTTGTTTTGGCCTCGACTGTTTTGGTAGTTCGCTGTGATTTTTTCACCCACTCGTCAAATATTTCGTTTTCGTTACCCAATCACAGTCGGGCAAACCCAACCAAGTGTTAAACGGTTGGAAATATGAGACGCGAGCTTTAAACACCCATCCTGCTTTTTCTGAACCTGTTATACCAAGGGGAAATAAGAAGCATGGGTACACCGCCCACCAGTCTCGACCACGGAGTTCTAAGGAGCCAACCTCTCACTGCCTCCACCTCCATTGCTTGAACAAGCTCAGCGTCCGTTGCTGATCCGCCCCGCGCAATGGATGGGGATAGGAAAAGCCTCCCCATAACAACATCGTCCCAGCACTGACGCTGCCGTTTGATTAACTCTGACCTGTCAGAGGAGCCAGGAAACTGAGGCGAATAATCGCTACCAGCTTCTTCTCTGCTTGCACTTCTGTCACTGCCTTCGAAGTTTTCACGTCGTTCAGTGTCACCTCCGTTACTGTCACAATTGCTGCTGCCTCCTGCAAGGGCTCCGTCCCCACTGAAACTTCCCTTCCTTCTCCAGACCGTCAGACAGTCATGTGTCCCTGGCCAATTCGGAAGAGCCACGTGTTCAGCCAGCACCCATTTCTTTTCCAAAAGGGAGAGAAACTGCGGGCCGGCGGTCTGCGGCTCATATGAGGGCGCCTGAGAAGAGTGTGCCTGTAGCGAGCAGTCACTTGAGTGTACAGAGTGTGCTTGTAAGAAGTGAAGTGGCAGTTCCCCAATGAACACCAAAGTGGATCCTCTGTATTGGAGCAAGGCGTCAGCTGCCAGTGATGGCACCTCACCAGCTGATGATGATTCCCCCCTTGCTGCTCCCCCTGCTGCTGCTGCTTCTGCCCCTGCTGCTCCCCCTGCTGCTGCTGCTTCTGCCCCTGCTGCTCCCCCTGCTCCTGCTGCTTCTGCCCCTGCTGCTGCCCCTGATGCTGTTCCTGCTGCTGCCCCTGCTGCTGCTGCTTCTCCTCCTCCACTTGCTGTTGCTGCATCAGATATTTCTGCTTCCTCAGGTGGAGGCCAGCACAGCAGCAATGAACGGTCAGGATGCAGCGCAGACGCAGAAGCATCTCCCTCTGAGAAAATGGGGGAGGGAGGGTCCAACGATTAAAGTGAGTGAAAGGTTGATTTGAACGAACAGCTGTGACTTAGTAACCAGCAATAGATATCATAGAGAAACACTGCAAGAGGGGTGCTCACCACACACCTGAGTGGTTTTTGAGAATTCTCAAGAACTAGCTACTCTGATCACCAGCAACAGACACTGTAGTAACGAACATATTGCAAGAGGGGTGCTCACCAGACACATGAGTGAAAGGCGGCACGTTGACCAGCTGACTTGCCGATGCCATGGGAAGGGCATGGTGCCCGTTCACTCGGCTGCTAACGTCGTTGCTGCTGCTGTTTCTGCTGCTGCTGGAGTTGCTGCTGCTGCTATTACTGCCATTGCTGCCACTGCTGCCACCATCGCTACTGTTGCTGCTGCTGCTGGTGCTTCCACCGCTGTCCAGAGGCGTCCAATCATAGGCTGCCACGTCAACGCCTCTCCTCTGCAAAAGTGCAGCCCAGTAACCCGTCCCTGCGCCCACCTGTTATGACGGTGGTGGTGACAGAGACAAGACGTGCCATGTCAGCAAGATGAAACGGTACTTGACACCCACCGGAAGACACGACGACGACATGCATGACATGACAGCAGCACGCATGAATGCCACTGAACATGCGTATTCCGTCACTACAACTACGGAATCTATCTTGAAGGTGTCTACATCCGCCACTATCTTAAAGGGACAGCCGCCACTACACCTTCCCCGCCTCCCCTCTTGTGCCTGTCCCCATCGCTCACCTCCACCACCCCCCTCCCTCCTGCGGCCTCCTTGACTGCTGCCAGTGCAGCCTCTGTGGGCACCGCCCTGGGGGAGCGGGGGGGCGGGATGGGTGCAGGGGCGCAAGGAGCGGATGGGTGGAGGGGCGGAAGGAGCGGATGGGTGGAGGGGTGGAGGGGTGGAGGGGTGGTGTGGAGGATTCAACCATACGACGTATGTATCAGTCCCACCTATCAGTCCCACCTACCTATCAGTCCCACCTATCAGTCCCACCTACCTATCAGTCCCACCTACCTATCAGTCCAACCTATCAGTCCCACCTACCTATCAGTCCCACCTATCAGTCCCACCTATCAGTCCCACCTACCTATCAGTCCCACCTACCTATCAGTCCAACCTATCAGTCCCACCTACCTATCAGTCCCACCTATCAGTCCCACCTATCAGTCCCACCTATCAGTTCCACCTATCAGTCCTACCTATCAATCCCACCTATCAGTCCCACCTATCAGTCGTACCTATCAGTCCCTCCTATCAGTCCCACCTATCAGTCCCACCTACCTATCAGTCCCACCTATCAGTCCCACCTATCAGTCCCACCTACCTATCAGTCCCACCTATCAGTCCCACCTATCAGTCCCACCTACCTATCAGTCCCACCTACCTATTAGTCCCACCTACCTATCAGTCCCACCTATCAGTCCCACCTATCAGTCCCACCTATCAGTCCCACCTATCAGTCCCACCTACCTATCAGTCCCACCTACCTATCAGTCCAACCTATCAGTCCCACCTACCTATCAGTCCCACCTATCAGTCCCACCTACCTATCAGTCCCACCTACCTATCAGTCCAACCTATCAGTCCCACCTACCTATCAGTCCCACCTATCAGTCCCACCTATCAGTCCCACCTATCAGTTCCACCTATCAGTCCTACCTATCAATCCCACCTATCAGTCCCACCTATCAGTCGTACCTATCAGTCCCTCCTATCAGTCCCACCTATCAGTCCCACCTACCTATCAGTCCCACCTATCAGTCCCACCTATCAGTCCCACCTACCTATCAGTCCCACCTACCTATTAGTCCCACCTACCTATCAGTCCCACCTATCAGTCCCACCTATCAGTCCCACCTATCAGTCCCACATACGTATATTCGGCGCATGTTCAGGTCAATGTAGGGTACGAGTAGAGGGGTCAGCGGCAGCCGCATCCGCAGCACGGGCAGCCACAAAATGACGTACCAGGCGTATATTCGGCGCAATGGTGCGATGTTCAAGTCAATGTAGGGCACGAGCAGGGGGTTCAGCAGCAACCCCAGCAGCAGCGGCCGCAGAGTGACGCGTATATCTTGTAGCACGTAGCCCTGGGAGGTACGAAACGACGTACCAGGCGTAAATCCTGCGAAGCGGCGCGGTGTTCAAGTCAATGTAGGGCACGAGCAGGGGGTTTAGCGGCGCTGCTTCCCTACTTCCCCCTCCGCCACTCTCCGCCCGTTTTCCCCCCACCAGGGCTTCCCCACCCAGCGCGCGGAACTCCGCCGTGCGCTGGCGGAAGAGGCGGAGGTACTCCATGTCTGGCGCTACCGGCGCGCCGTCTGTACGCGATAAAAGGCCATCGTGGTAAGAAGACGAAGGTTCGCGCAGTCCCGTTGAGAGGGAGTGGTTGGGGTTTGCGCGAGCAGGCGGCTGCTTCGAAAGGAGCAAGCGAACGAGGAGGCGGCGAATCATGTCGAGCGGTTGAATGATGCAAGACGACGACGACGACGACGGCGAGATTCTGGCGAGATGATGGCGAAACAGTGAGGAGATGAAGTCGAAATTGCTGTGAGATCACGGCAAAATGACAAGTTCTTTTAAGCCCTGACACTTGATACCGCCAGGATACGGCGGGCTACGAAGCCTCACGACGGTTACGAACACGCGACGCCATGGTTGTGTTTTGAGTCAATTCCAAATACACCACCAACAGATATGGCGGCCTGATGCTTTCAGCGGGGAATCAGGGGCACAAATGGTTGCCTGATACGCGTTATGAAGTAGCAATGTAAATGTTGAAACAATCCCTTATTGCGTTTTGAGACTCGTGTTATATGTGCATTTCAACTTCGAAGTTGGACTAAACCTCATTTGCCAACCCCAAACACCCGCCCCTGGCCCAATTTCCACCATTCTTGCGACTCCCCTCCCGTGCTGTGCCTTAGCAGGCTCGAAACCACTATCGTAGGGTCGCATCGCAAAGCATCGCAAAGCAACGCATCGCAACGCAACAAAGGCTTCGGTAGACGTTGCTATCTATCCGGTCGATGTCTGCGTGAGGCAATTTCAGCTCTGAGCCGCCTTTTCCGAAATTAAAGTTAGTTACACTTTCGTGAGTGCAGCCTGCGTTCCGAGCTTTCGCAGCCTGCGTGCACCCGTTAAGCGCGTCATGCCTGCTACACTCACTAACGAGGATGAGGCCACTAAGACCGTTCTCGAGTCGCTCGGCGATCTCCCACCCACCTCCTTCCTCGCACCTTCGTCGGACCTTTCGCAGCAGCTTCGCACCGCAGTGAAGGCTCTCTTCGACACCGGAATGTCCAACCTGGACGCCGCAAAGGACGCCGCACTTGACGCCGCATCTGGCGGAGGGAAAAAAGGAGCGTCCGGTTTTACCAAATCACAGTCGTTAGCCCCGGAAAGGAAGCTTCCTGGGCTTTTCGTCGATGGATTTGATTCGGAGCAGATCTGGTGCCAGCTGGACCTCGCTATGGCGCCGACACTTCCCCGCATTCGACGGCGGCTGAAGCGGGCGGAGGAGCTCATGGAAGGGAAGGCGGTGGGGAAGGACTTTTTTCGGGTTCCGAAGCTTGTCAGGGGGAAAGGCGGAAAGGGGGAATCCGGACAGGGGGGAGGGAAAGTACAAGGGAAGGAGATGCGGGGGAAGGGGGGGAAAGGGGGAAAGGGGCGAGAAGGGGAAGGGGACGAGGATGGAAGTGGCGAAAAGGAGCGGGTACAGGGTTTAGGGTTGGGGGGTTCTGAAGGGGAGAGTGGGGAGGAGGAAGACGAGGAGGATGAGGAGGGATTGATGGGGGAGGGGAGGAGGAGAGGGATAGTAATGGGTTCTGATGAGGAGGATGACGAGGGGGAGGGGGATGGGGAGGAGGAGGACGAGGATGAATTGGCTTTGATGGAAGAGATCAGGAAAGCGAGGAGAGAGGAAGAGGAGGAGGGAGAGGGGGAGGAGGAGGAGGAAGGGGATGAAGAGGATGGGGAGGGGGCGTTTGAGGCGCTTTACAGGGCAGGGTCGCCTGGTGGGGGGGAGGAGGGGGAAGAGGATGATGGGGACGAGGTAAGGGACAGTGGGACATGAAGGATGGATGGGAAGGGATGGGGAGGGATGGGGAGGGATGGGGAGGGGTGGGGAGGGATGGGGAGGGGTGGGGAGGGATGGGGAGGCGGGTTTCGGGTTTTAGAGGATTAAGGAGAAGTGTTGAAGCATGAATTGTAATGAATGTCTGCTGCTGTCGCTATGTGTGTGGCATGTGCGTGACGGCACGGCCTGCCCATGCACGTGTGTGTGCTTGTGTGTGGTGGCATGTGTGTTTGTGGCATGTGCGTGCATGTATGTGTGTCTATGTGTTTGCCATGACTGTGTGCATGTCTTTGTGCGTGGCATGCGCGTGTGCGTGTGCATGTGCGTATTGCATGTGCGTGTGCGTGTGCATGTGCGTGTGCGTGTGCATGTGCGTATGCATGTGTGTGTGTGTGTGTGAGCGTGTGCGTGTGCATGTGCGTATGCATGTGTGTGTGTGTGTGTGTGAGCGTGTGCGTGTGCATGTGCGTATTGCATGTGCGTGTGCGTGTGCGTGTGCGTGTGCGTGTGCGTGTGTGTGTGTGTGAGCAGGGAGGGCGGAAGAAGGCTCAGAAGAAGAGGGCACTCCTAGATGGCGCCATGATCAGGTGAGAGCTGTTGGATTTGATTAAGGCGTCCCACGGTTGTGCTCGAATGGGTGGGCATGCAGCAAAGAGTGAGTGCAGGGAGGGGGGATGGAGCCTTGAGCTGAGCATGCTTGTATGCAAGGAAGGCTCAGAAGAAGTAGGCATGGGTAGATGGGTCCATGATCAGGTGAGCTTTAAACTTCGATGCTGTTCCATGGGTCTATGCAGGGGGGAAGGAGGAGATTAGGCTTCTTAATGTCCCAATCACGTGCGCTGTTTTGTTTCCCTCTCCTCATTATCCCTCCCCTTGTACTGCACGTTCCCCATTGGCTTGCCCCATTGTTCTCTCCCTTTCGTCGTCCTTCCCAGATACGAGGACTTTTTCGGGAGGAAAGCGCCAGAGAGCCACCTGGAAGCGGATAGGGTGATGAGGGGCGAAGAGGAGGAGGATGTGGAGGATGTTGAGGTGGAGGAGTGGGATGGGGAGGAGGAGGATGAGGAGGAGGAGGGGGACGAAGGCGAGGAGGAGGAGGACGAGGAGGGAGAGGAGGAGGATGAGGAGGAAGGAGGGGAGGAAGGGAAGGCAGTGGTGGAGAGAAGGAAGAAGGGGTTGTTGGAGGAGGAGGAAGATGAGGGTGGAGAGAAGGAGGACGAGGAGGTGCGTTAAGACAATGGGTTGGGAACGGTAAGTGGTGAGGCGGTGGGGAGGGGACAGTGAGCTAGAAAGGAAGAGGTGGTGGGTGGGGACAACAGGGACACAGCTAGAGCTGCTCTACGTTTGGATGGGGACAATGGATGGGACGTCTCAGCAGTTCACGGCCCTCTCTTGAGATTCCCGAAACTCACTCACACCACAGCCCTCGTTCGTTTTTTGAGAATTCAGCTCACTCACAGAAAACATAAGCTCACTCACACCACAGCCCTCGTTCCCACGCACTACTTGATAACGCGCCATCCTCTCTCCCCGATTTACCCCATTTGCTCCCACAGCCCAAGTCGCTGTACGAGATTCTCCTGGAGCGGCTGAGAAGTGCTCCGGCTGGAGCGGCAGCTGGAGGAGGAGAGTGTTCCATTCTCACACACCCTCCTCTCGCCTTCCTCTTGCATCTCTCTTTCCCAGTTCTGTTTACTGTTGTTACAGCCCAAGTCGCTGTACGATATTCGCCTGGAGCGGCTGAGGAAACGCATGCGCCAGCTGGAGCAGGAGAAGGTTTCACTCCCGCCCTCCTTTCGCCTCCCGCTCTCCCGGTTCTGTTTACCATTACTGCCCAAGTCGCTGTATGAGATCCGCCTGGAGCGGCTGAGGAACCGCATGCGCCAGCTGGAGCAGGAGAGCGTCTGAGTCACATGCCATGTGGCCTTTTCTGTGCGGGTCTCTCACCCCGCCGCCCCATTCCTCTCGTCCTCCTGTCACCTTCACCTTCACCTTCCTCCCGCCCTCCTCGTTCTCTGCCTGATCTCCTCCCACAGCCCAAGTCACTCTATGAGATCCGCCTGGAGCGGCTGAGGAAGAGGATGCGGCAGCTGGAGGCGGAGAGTGTTTGATCCTCACACACCCTCCTCTCGCCCTCCTCTTGCATCTCTCTTTCCTTACTGTTGTTTGTTACAGCCCAAGTCATTGTACGAGATCCGCCTGGAGCGGCTGAGGAAGCGGATGCGGCAGCTGGAGGCGGAGAACCTCCACGTGGAGGCGCGCCATTGGACGATGCGCGGCGAGGTGACAGCTGGCAGCCGCCCGAAGAACAGCGCGCTGGCGGCCGACCTGGACTTTGAGCACGCCGCCCGGCCGGCGCCCGTGATTACAGAGGAGGTGACTCAAACGATCGAGGAGATCATCAAGAAGAGGATTCTCAATGTGAGTCCCGTTTGTGTGTGTGAGTGGGTGGGTGGTGGGGGGAAAGAGAGGGGGAGTGGGAGGTAAATATACACACACATATATTTACATATATATGTATAAAATATATATAATATATATATAATAATATATCTGTGTGGGCGGGCGGCCTGGTCGGTGGGTGAGTGGGTGGGTGTCTGGCCATGCTAGTGAATGCGAGTGTTCAAATTAACCACATGCCGTTCTGTTCTTGGTACAATGGCACCAGTATATATTGCTGCTATGCCGTCAATCAACCCATCCCCGTCTCTCTTTATGTCCCCTTTTCTTCCCCTTTCTTGCTCTGCGTGTCCACGTCAGCAACAATTTGATGACGTGGAGCGGAAGGCCAAGCCCGTAGCGACACCTGTCAAGGGGAGATTGGAGCTGGTGAGTCGGCCATGCTGCTTTTTCTTCTGCTGCTGTGTCTTACGACCCTGTTACTCCGGTTGAAATCCACTGCCTGACATTTCTGTGTGTTCTCTCAACCTGTGCCCATCAACCTGTGCCCATCCACCCGCGCCCCCTGGCAGGACGACAACCCCAGCGCGCAAGGCCTGGCGGAGATCTACGAGTCTCAGTTCCTCAAGGCTCTCCTTTACCATGTGTTGTGCACTGCCACTCCCCCCTGTCATTCCTTTGTGTTCTATCTATCCACCAATGCCCCTTGACTTGATACCCATGGCAGGACGACAACCCCAGCGCGCAAGGCCTGGCGGAGATCTACGAGGCTCAGTTCCTCAAGGCTCCCTCGCCCCTGTCTTTGTCTTGCCACCCAGTCATTCTCGCTTGACTTGTGCGTCTCATTCCTGTGTGCTCCCTCCATGCGTGGCCCTTCCCTGGCAGGACGACAACCCCAGCGCGCAGGGACTGGCGGAGATCTACGAGGCTCAGTTCCTCAAGGCGGCTGGTCAGGCCCCTGAGGGCATGAGCGCCACCGAGGCTATCAAACACGAGGTGAAGGGGGGGAAGAGGGATGGGATAAGGGGGTCAAAGAGGGAGGGATGGTGGGGGAATGGTGAGAGGCGGCTGGTCAGGCCCCTGAGGGCATGAGCGCCACAGAGCAGATCAAACACGAGGTGCTGTGGGGGGGGGAGGGTGGGAAGGAGGGCAAATGCGCGAGCAGATTGGATGGGGGTTAAGGCTGGGCAGGCTCCCGAGGGCATGAGCGCCACTGAGCAGATCAAATCAAACACGAGGTGCTGTGCTGGGGGAAGGGAAGGGGGGGGAGGGAGGGGGAATGGGGGAGGGGAGATGGGAGGGGTGCAGCGTATGAGCGGGCGGTGCAGTGTATGTGCATGCACGTATGTGCAGCGTAGGGGAGAGGGGAGAAGTGAAGGGGGAAGGGTGAGAGGAGGGGAGGGGACGGGTGGGCGGCCCCCACTGCCCGCGTGATCAACTTGGTGCCCTCTCACACTCCGCCCTCCTCTTTGCCGCCCCTCTTTCGCCCCTCCTCTCCTCTCTCACAGGCTGCTGGCTGAATTTGGTCAGCCCGTACTGCTGGCTTCCCCGTTGACACTCCTCCTCACCACCCCTCTCCTCCCCCCTCCCCCCCCCCCCCCCCCCCGCCACCGTCACTGCTCCCACATACAGGCTGCCCGCATGTTCAAGCATCTGTGCACCAAGCTGGACGCACTCTCACACTTCCCCATCACCCTTCCCCCCCCCTTCCCTCTCTGTCAACCCCCCCTTGCCGTACCCATCACCCCATTCAGGCAGCCCGCATGTTCAAGCATCTGTGCACCAAGCTGGACGCACTCTCACATTTCCACTTCGCTCCAAAGCCGGTACGTCTCAAACCCCTCCCATCGTCCATGCCCCACCCCCCTGCGACACATCCCCCTCTACACTCGGCACGTATCATACACGCAGCTTCGATCTCTTCTCATGTGCTCGATTTGGGACTTGATATTTGGGTCTGCTCAAAATTCCCGGCCATGATGCCGCTGTCCCGCTGCTCCTAGTCTCTCGCTGCGTCTTCCCTGTGCTTCAACAATCTCACATTCTTGCTACTCCCCTCCTCCCATCCCATCAGATCACATCTTGTGCTTGTTACTCCCCTCCCCGCTCCCATCCCATCCCATCCCATCAGATCATGGATGACATTGACGTCCCGGCCAACGTGCCTGCCATTGCCAGCAGTAGTGGGTTATGTGATGTGATGTGATGTGATGTGATGTGATGTGATGTGATGTGATGTGATGTGACTATACTGAACATTCCGCGTCTCCTGCTTGTTGCTCCCCTCCTCCCTCCCATCCCATCAGATTATGGATGACATTGACGTCACGGCCAACGTGCCTGCCATTGCCATGGAAGAGGTACGTGCGTCCGTCCGTCTGTCATGTGTGCTGTGCTTGTGGTGTCTCCTGCTTCACTCCTTCCTCCCTGCTTTTGTTCGTAGGTCGTTTTCCTAAGTTCTCAGAAATGGCCTTTCTAAACAAACCAAGGAGGTTTGCCGTTTCTCCGGCACATCCTTGGCCTGCCGTTTCTCCCTTACCAAACCCCCCTCCAACAGGTGGCGCCAGTGGTGGTGTCAACGGCAAGCGCGCTGCGCCAGAGGAGGTGTATGCAGGCGGGGAGGAGAGGAGGGCATAGGGGCGGAGCGGACCCTTTCTCCTTGACCAGTGCTCCAAGCGCTGATACCTTCTCTCCTCTCCCTTCCATTTTGACCCTTCTCCCCACCAGGTGGCGCCAGTGGCGGTGTCAACAGCAAGCATGCTGGCGCCAGAGGAGGTGTTTGCAGGCGGGGAGGAGGGCGTGGGGACGGCCCTTTTTCCCTTTCTCAATGTCCCTTCCAATCCCTACCCCCCACTCTCCCCAGGTGGCGCCAGTGGCGGTGTCAACAGCCAGCATGCTGGCGCCAGAGGAGGTGTTTGCAGACGGGGAGGAGGGCATGGGGGCGGCCCTTGCTCTCCATCTCATCGCCCCAGTTACTGATTCCCCTTCTCTCTTCCAATCCCTTCCCCCTCTCCCCCCCCTCCCCTACTCTCCCCAGGTGGCGCCAGTGGCGGTGTCAACAGCCAGCATGCTGGCGCCAGAGGAGGTGTTTGCAGGCGGGGAGGAGGGCGTGGGCGCGGGCGGGGGCAGGAGGGGGAGTGCGCGGGGGATGGTGAAGGGCGAGGGGGAGATGGAGCGGGAGGACCGGAAGCGACTGCGCAGCAAGCTCAAGCGCAAGTGGAAGGGTGAGTGTTGATTTCTGCTGTTGGGGTTCTTGACCTCTGTGATTTGTTCCCGTCGGTCCCCATTCTGTTTTAACTCTCCCGACACATTTCCCCTCTCCCCTCCTCTCTGTCCTCGCCCTTGTGCTTGCGCAGGAGAGAAGGCCGAAGACCAGAAAAGCTCACAGGCAGTCCCTGGCATGGCATCTGGTGCGGGTGGTGCTGCTGCTGGCAGTGTTGGGCGCAAGATACGGGTGGTGGAGAGGGGGCAGCAGAAGCAGGGCCTATCAGATTTCACCAACTCAGCAAAGGTATTTCCTTCTTACCTGGCCGCCCCTGCCATGCTCCATCTGTATCATTCAACTGCTCTCATCTGTCCTGCTTTTTTCGTGCCCGATTGCCCGCTTTTTCCCTGCTTGCCTTCCACACCTCGTCTATCTCCACTCGATTCCATAATGCTGTCTCGAACATCTGGCAGCAGGAGGAGCTGCCACTGTGATTCGAGGTGCTACGTTGGCAGCACGAGGAGCTGCTCTGAGTTGATTTGAGCCGCTGTGTTCTCTTCCCTCCTCCATCTCTCCCCCATAGGTCTTCACACACATCCAGGACATCAGAGCATCTGGCAGCAAGAGGTGCTTTGAGTTGATTTGAGCTGCTGTGTTCCCTTCCCTCCCTTCCCCTCCTCCCTCCCTCTCCCCCACAGGTCTTCACACACATCCAGGACATCAGAGTATCTGGCAGCAAGAAGCAGCGGGCGGCAGCGCCATCTCAGCACGAGCCGCAGCAGATTCGGGCGGCGGCACTGAAGCTGTGACGTGGAGTGTTCACATCACCATCACCAGCACATGGGTTATCTCGAATTCTTTTGAAGTTCTCAGCAGCAAGAGCCTCAGCAGATTCGGGGCGGCAGCACTTCACCTGTGATGTGGATAAACTCTTCACTACCAGCACGTCTTCTTCCTCCCACCACCGTATGGGGGGTTGTTTAGTTCTTACAAGTGGCACCACATTCACTTCTTCCTCTACCAACATCGCTGCTACGCATATGCTAGTTGTCGTTGCAGTAAGGTTGTGTGCTGCTTCCCATGTGCTCCACCTCAACACCCTGGTTTCAACAGTGCAAGCGAAGAACGATCGCTGATGTATAAACACGCACATACTGAGGTATACAATCTGGCGACAACAATGTGTTGTAGCCAAAAACCCATAGCTCAAACCAGCACAAACCAACGCTTCAAAACAAAACATGTTCTTGCATGTCGTTTCTGGCCTTGCAGCCTGCAGAGCAGACGGCCTTCCTTTCCACACATTCCTCCCCATGCCTTGATACTCTTTTCTTCACTGCCTGGATCCTCCTCCAGGTGACCAAACCAAGCATTCCTAAATTAACCTGTTAACACTAACATGAAGCACAGGTTCCATGTTAAACGTTACCCACCTATGGAGCTAGGTATCATAGGTAAGTAAAAAAATCTCAGAGGTGCAGTGCAAGGTCCAGCACTGGAGCAGGTGCAGAATGGTGCTGAGCGGTGGAGAATGGTGAGCGCGGCTCCTCACACGCACTCCCAGAGCTGCCACTCTCCTGATGCATCTCCTCCACTCCTGAGGAGCAAAAAATATTCAACTCCATTACCTCTGCTTCCCTCCCATTCCTCGCATTCTTCACATCCCGTGTCGCCTGTTGCTCGGCCTCCTCAAGATTCTCCTTCACATGAGGTGCCGCATCACACGCAGCCATGGCTGAATCTGAAGCTCCCAAGCTGGCTCCTGAGCCTGCAGCCACGTCAGCATCAAACTCATCAGATGACGTGGATCGTGCGCTTGTCTCTCCTGCCACGAGGGACACCTTCTGTCGCTTCAGCCGACCCAGCTCCTGCCGAATGTTTGCCATAATCGCAGCTCTGTCAGTATTCGTGGACCCACTCTGGTTACCACTTTGGTTACTGGTCTGGTTACCATCGCTCTGGTTACCACCGCTGTGTCTCGTGTCCACGTCAGAGCTCCGCGTGGAGCTGTCAATCCGAGTCAGCCTGGGCGGCCGCGTCGCCGGCGCTTTCACCTTCAGATTCAAGTTCCGAGCCGCCTCAGACACTCGAGGCTGCAGCGGCAGCGGCAGAGGCTGCGGCTCTGATTGAATGACGTTACTAACTTCAGCCGTCCTCACGATGCGCGGCTCGGTTTTATAGGGCGAGTAGAGTCCCCGAAGCGGCGGGTTCGGAGAGAGCTCCCGCCGCCGCTTTCCGCCGCCGGCGGCGCCGCAGGTTCTCGTCGAAGCGCGGGTCACGGCCTTGCCGCCGCCGCCGTCACGATGAGCCGACTTGTGGCCGCCCAGGGCTTGCAGCGACGCGAATTTGGCGCCGCAAATTGCGCACGCGAAGGGGCGGCATGGCGACGGCGACGGCGACGGCGGAAAAAGAGAGTGTTTTCCGGTTTGTGATTTAAACATCGGCTGGTTACCACAAGCCGGGATGCTACTAGGAAGTGCTGCTGATGATGACGTGGAGTGTAACGACGCGCCGCGTGCAACGGACCGAAAAGGGGCGCCGAAATGCCGCCGCGCGGCTTCGATTTGTCGTGACTCCTCCTGCGAGAAGCATCCCCAAGCCGCCGCCCGACGGACCGTCACGGAAGCGCCGGTGTGGTCGAAATCAGCGGCATCAGGATGATGATCGTGTTCTTGATAGTGGTTGGGCCCGCATTTCCCGGCGCGGCGCCAATCGATCAACGCGTCCAAGAGACCGTGTGAGGAAGCATGCGTCGCGGCTTGCATAGTCCTTATTTCCGCCGCCGCCGTCGAAATATCGCTCTCGACCGTCGATATGGATTTCTCGAAGGCGATTGTGCTGTTACCGCGTCCCGCGGCGCGCCGAGCCGTCGTCAATGCTGGGAACTGATTGATTTCGAGAAGATTATGCGGCGCAAGATTGTAGAGGGGAGCATTGGCAAGCATCAGACGAATGGAATAGGCTGATGGAACGTTAGCCGCCTGAAGCGGCGATTCGAGAAGGGTGGTCATGATCCTGCTTGGTAGTTATGAGAAACTCGTGCGCATAAGGAGGAGACTCCTGCTAATTATAAAATGGAGAGCGGCAGAAGAAGCCGCGTCACGGTCTTCCAGCTGTCGAAACTGTTTACTACGGTGAATCGAAGTACGTACACTATGAGTGAATGGAAGGACGACGATAGTGACGGCCGATGCGAGTTGTGGAGTTTAGAAGAACGACTGAGGGATTGAAGCTTCGAGAAGATAAGTGAATCAAGCTCGAGTATTGCTCGATGAGGGAGACAAGATGATCCTGTGTGAGATATGCAATCAAAATGTACTGCACGAGAGGAGCTATTCGAACAAGCTGATTTCACGTCGGAGCGCGTACGCTCTACAGTGCTCTTCTGTGCTTCGACAAGCAATGATATTTGGGCATGGATACTGAGCTGGTCATTTCTGCAGGATATTATGGCAATGACTCTTAAAAATCGGGGTCCCTCTTTCATGACTCTGCCCAGGCTGTATGCGGCAGTATCTTAAAAACTCCAAGAATCGGGGATCGCGGAAGAAAGCTCGACACAGGCAAAGATTCTATCAGCCTGGCTGGGTCGTCACGTCACGTCTCCTCTCCTTCTGTGTCTGATCTTTTGCTAAGTACATCAGACACCTCTTCGGCGGACACGAGCTGCGAGTCAAGAGGGTAGGAAGAGAAGGCGGAGGTGTACTTGTTGGTGTGTGCTGTAGGTTGCATCAAATCAAGCCTTCAAAATGCCAAAGCTTGAAACGTAGACTTTTCCACTTAGCCGAGTGTAGCCTGGGTCGGCCCTTCAACCAGGGTTGTTAATTTGGGACCCGTTCACGAAAGAGACCTCAGAATACATTTCTTCAGGCTGTTACAACGCTACCGCGAATCTTGAAATCGGGAGAAACCGGGAACGAAAACATAGGCCTGATGGCGGTAGGGATTCAAATCGGTATCCATAGGCGAATCATATCTTGCCTCAAGCGAGCTGACACCTGGCATCAGCCGAGGAAATTTGCGCGTGCTGTGTCCAGCGTGCTTGCCAAACTTGTGGTGGCAACAAGCATCCAGGGAAGGGTGCCCTGATTCATGTGCTGCTTTATCATTACTCAACGCCAGCTGTACCGACTGCAGAAGATATTTAAAGAATGCCGCATGCCCAGACCCCACATGCCTTGCCAACGTGGGGTATGCCGATGGGACAAACCTAACTGCTGCGCGCGAATTTGCTCTGCACGCGCCAGAAAGCCTGCACCCGTGTATTTTGCGCCAGCCTGTTGCACCCACGTTACAAGCACCCCGAGAAAATTGCATTGACTATGAACCAATAGTAACCACAGAAGCCAAAGTCAAGCTGAAGAGACCGAAGTCAAAACGTCAGCGTTGAGTTACAATTTATTAATAAGACCTTTTTTGCTAGGTGCTACGTTGACGAAATTTGCAAAATGCCGAGAAGCACTTAAAAGCCCCCTTCACAAGACAACCTTGGGTTAGTCAAACGAGCATCATGTGTATTTCACCTCCAATGAGACTTCGCCAGTGTCCTCGGACTTGATGCACATGAAGTCTCCTCCAGCCCATCTTGTCATGCCGACCTGGCGTAGCCTGACGCCATTCATTCCGTGCTGCTCAGGACATCCACAAGCAAAAGCCACACCGCTGCTAGGCCAGCATGCGTTGCCGCAGTAGATACTGTACTTGTTTGCTGGGGTAGCTGGACGAGAGCGGGTCAAGGAAGGACAGCCCCAAGCGAGGTTGCTTACAAGTACAAGATACAAGAAGGGCTACATGGTTAAAGGGGCACCATCGCATATATACCAGTGTTACGGGTGCAATGAATCGAGGTAGCGAGGATTGCACTAAGTGTCAAACAAGTACAAAATGTGAGCGAAGGCATGAGCGAACATTTATACGCGAAACATGCAAACGGTAACGCGGCGCGTGCAAGCTAGCTAGTGCTACGCTGGCGCGATGTTCGGGCTAGTCCCGAAGCGTAGGCCGACACGGCCGGGCCAGCGGTGCGAGGTTTGGTGAAACAGTGCGCGCGAAGTTGGCGAAGCCCCGTTAACAGTAACGGGCGAACAACGACTGCTGCTGTACGAGATGTTGTAGGATGCGCTAAGGAATGTCGAGAAAATTCCTTACACTACCCCCCCCCCCCTCTCAAGAAGCCCCCTCCGCTACGCGAGTGCGTGTATATCGCGGAAACCCCGGCTCCTCAGATACACTTGCAGGGCAAGGTGGTTTTCAATGTTGGCTAGGGGCACCCACCTATCCTCAGTTGGCGTGCGGTCCTTCCAGCGAACGAGGAACTCGATCCTCTTGATGCCCGTGGAGTGTCGAATCCGATGGCTCAGAATTTTTTCGGTCTCGATGATCGGCTCCGATGCAGGGCGAGTCATGGATGGCGGGCGGTGACGAGGCAGGTGGCTCGTGGTTGGGATGTAAGGGCGAAGCAGGCTGACGTGGAATGATGGGCTGATGTACCAGTCTGTCGGTAACAGTAGGTGTGCTGTCACGGGGGTGATCATGTGGCTGATTTGGAATGGTCCACTGTAGCGCGGTCGTAATTTCGGCACGACGGGCAGTCTTAAGTTCTGTGTGTCGAGCAGTACGTAATCTCCTGACTGGTACGTGACTGGGCGGCGGTGGCGGTCAGTGTTGCGTTTAGCGATGACATTGGCTTTTTTAGTTGCTTCGGCGGCTCTGGTGCGGGCAGCTTGCAGAATCTCGGCGAATTGCTGTGCGCGTGGCGTTGGGTTGTCCGGACTCGGCGTCATGGGCACTGTAGGGTTTTGCCCGTAGT